TCTTATTACGAAGGAACGCTAAAATCTTATAGATGGTTTTATCCTGAATATTATTCACCACTTATATCAGGCAAGTTCTAGATTAGTAAATGAATATTATCAATATAGAATAATTATAATTTAGTAACCTGATTTCAGATTTGCAAGCCTTGAAAATTAATGAAACAAATTTCGAAGATTTTAAAGATCAAGATTATTATAAACCTTTCGAACAATTGATGTTTGTTTTGCTTATTAAAAGTAAAAGACTTTTACCAGTAGCATATCAGGTATAAAATTCGTTCAATAAAAATTATCATAAATATGAATGTTGTATAAGTTTTAACATGATTTTATTTAAAGCCTTATGAATGACCCTAGTATTGAAGAATTTTATCCTGTAACGTTTAGTATTGATGAAAATGATATTCCTAAAATTCCATTTGTCAGGGAAAGAGAACTATTATCTGTATTAGAATGTAAGTAAGTAAATTTAATTGTTTACAATGCTTATTAACTCATCATACTCTTTGATTGATTATAGCATCTGAAAGCAAATTGACGGATGATGAAAAACAGAGAAATAAGTTTAGAAAAGCACTCCTTTTTGAATATAAGAACCAGAAAGCGAATTGCACAGATTTCGAATTGAATATATAATTTTAAATAAAAAAAACTGTTAAAATAGTTTCTTTAAATATGTATAAATATGACATAAATCATGCATGAAATATGGGCTAAGTCAACCAGCTTTATAATTTAAAAGGTCCAAAATTTATTCAACCATGAGAGAAAAGATACACAGAGAAACCTTTCTCATACCACCTATAAGTGCGTACTGTACATCTATATATACTCTAATATTGGTAATATAAAGCTAATTTTATATAGTGAAAGTTTCTTTAATAAATATGTATTTAAAGGGGTTCCTTTGAATATGGAGCTAAACTATTAATAAATTTTCTGAATTAACAATGTAAAATTGGTTACGAGAAAGATGTAAACTGTTTTTAAGCAATATTTGTTTATTACATAAATTTGCAATGATAAAATTCGCAAGCACTATATAGTACAGCCGTTATCTAATTACAATAGGAACTATTAAATATAAAAGCTCTATTGAGAATTATAGTGATGTAAAGCTGCAGTAAACCACTTGCAACGTATAGGATTACTAAACACAACTCTTGTGAATAATAATATAAGCCCCTCTCTATCAGCAACAATATATATAATTAATAATTTTCTTGAAAGTTATGCTACTTTGAACTATTAAACCCCATCGAATAATCTTAAAACTCACAAGTAGTGTTTTATTGTTGATATTTATGAAATATCATCACACGATCACGTAGAGCGCACTGAATGAACACAGTTTGGAAATCTTATTTTATAAAGTTGATGAACTGTCGATATTATCTATATTTCTATATTTATGCTAAGTGAATGCTCTTTCAAAAATAACAATTTTATTTTCTATCATATTAGATGAGTCTGCTAACATAA